GAGCCCCAGGAGGAAGCACCAGAGACTCACCTGAGTTTCTGGGTTGGTGATCCTCGTGCATTCTCCCTCAAGGAAGACAAGAGACTAACCTTTCCTGGGGAAGATGAAGCTTCGATCCTTACAGCTTCCAGACTCAAGCCCGGGCCTGTCTCCAGCTGGCTGGGCCTGATACCCTGTAGTGTTATATATAGCCATGTCCTCAGCTCTTCCTCAGTTTGGCCTCTAGAAATTAGTGCAGAGATCGTGGTCTATAAACAACAGAAGTTTCTTTTTGATAATTCTAGAGCCTGGAAGGTCAGAATCCGGATGCTGGTGCGGGAGTCGCGAGGGCTTTCCTCTTGGTTACCGCCACTCAGCCCCTCACCGTATCCTCACCTGACTGAGAACTGGTTAGAGAGTTCCCTAAACCCATTCATGAGGGCTGAGTGTTCTATTACCTTCACAAGGACTTTCCAGGAAGATGGTAGAATGGTAAGCAGTAGAGAAAGGGGTCTCTGAGAGTTGCCCTTCAGACACTGTAGGGCATATAGCAACAAGAGGAAGACCAAAAAAGGGGTGTGGGTCCCCTGGACCCAGGAGGCTCTAAAGCAAGAATTGAAGTTCCCAGGAACAGCAAAGGGAGAAATTTCAACAAAGCAGGAGGTGGCCTGAGGCGCCTTTTCCCTGGGTGGGGACTCACTTAGGGGGAGGAGCCATATAAACCTGCAGACACACAGTGACTGCTGGCAACACCAGGGCCTCCATGGAGACACGCAGCAACGGAAGGGGCAGTGGACATGAAGGGCTGCACTAGCTGGCGGAGAGTGCTGAGGGCTGGGACATCCTGTGGGATTAGACAGCGACGGCCAGAGGCATCTGAGAGAGGGAACACCCGACCCAGAACTCTGAACAATTGAGGGCTGCTTTCTGGGCTAATGTCTTAGTGCATTTTGGCTGCTGTAACAAATTAGTACAGGCCATGATGATGCACTGGAGATTCATTTCTCATAGTTCTGGGGGTTGGAGGTAGAATGCTTAGAGGATACTGACTGAAAACTTCTTGTCGCCTTCACATAAGAACTGAGGATGACAGAGATCCTAAGCCTTCCATTCCCAACACCAGAGCTCTGTAAGTTCGCTCATCTGAGGGCTCGTTGGGAGAACACCAGACTAGTAACCAGGCTATGCGAAGAGCAGCTCTTGGGGCCCCTGACACGACGTGGGTGGCACCAGAAACGGCAGCAATTCCGGGGAGCTGTTCCTGCACTCTGTGCACTTTACCTTTCTCAGGGTGCTCATCCAGGGCACAAACAGAGGAAAGACAGAGACCTGAGATAGCACAGGAGGACATCCAGGGAGGGGGGAACTGCATAGCTGGTTACTTCTGCCTTGGGAAAGGGGAGGGTCACTCTACAAAGACCCTAGTGAAGTCCGCAGAGTGTCTCTCGGAGTGGATTCTCCGTATGCGGGTGTATATGGCGCTCACTGAATTCCCCTCCCAGGTGCTCCAAAATTCCCTTCACTACTGACCTCCTCAACCATTTCTGCTGCTTCTGATGAGGGATCTTCCCTGGCTTCACAGGTGTTCACTGGGCAGAGAAAAAGAGATGGTGCAGAAGGCAGGGACTGCGAGGCAGACAGACCAAGTGCCCCGACAGGCACTGACAACAAGGACCATGGGGTGAGGAAGACAGAGACATCAGCGCATCCATGCCCACAGGTCCAGCCCAGGACAACCACAGCCAAGACGGCCACTGGCTTTGGAGCGAACTTCGGCTTCCCTCTCAGTAGTGTCTATGTGACTCCTCCCATCACCTCCTGGTCCCCTCCTTCCTGCTTTGAAATGAAATGTGACATCAGGGAGTTATAGCAGACACAAGGCCCTATGAGCCAAGCAGCATGTAAGAAAGACTAAGCCAGTCACCCCCCACTCATCTGGACTCCTACACTCCGCTATGAAGGGAAGGAATATCCTTGTGTTTATGCCAAGTGTAGCGTTTTCTTCCACAAGCAGCTGAGCACACTCAGAGAAGACCCAAGCAGTGCAGTGAGGAGAGCCGAACTTCAGTTCTCGGGCCTTCGGCCGCAGCTCTCTTCCCTGGACTGCTAGTCAGTCAAGAAAACTAGACCCAAAAATCAAGCTTTCTGTAGAAATAGTGACTCAATTAAAGCTTTAATGCTAGATTTATAGCCAAATAGAGCTCAATATCATTTATTTCACAGAGGGTTACCTGAAATAAAACAAATATAACTGAAATAAACATTGGGTACAATTGATCTCCAAAAATGTGCAAATTTTTAGAGCAATCAGAGAGAAGGAATAATTTTTTTCAGTATACAAAAGTCAGTGCAATATTACAAAATGCATTCATATCACAGCAGAAATTGAAGACAGCAAGGACCATATGACCTTAAATCTGGGTTAGATTTATATTTCTTTTCACAGAAAGCTATATTTCTTTTGCCAAGTATAAGACAAATAGGATTGAACTGCACCTAAACACAGGTATTGGAGATATAAAATACGATCACTTTGAACAAGCAGCCATTAATCAAAAAGTTACATCAAAAATAATTGTCCTTGTAGAGACAACAGTAATGTTTTTAATTATCCTCACTGGAGAGCTTGACTTTTCTTCAATCAACTATCCCAAGAGGTCTTTACTCTGAGGAATTCCTTCCAAGCCCCAGTGGGGTTGGGAGGGATTCCTTTGGCCCCAGCTCCAACTTCCCAATGGGGGAACCACAGAGAGACCTGAGAGAGCAGTCAGCCTGCACCAGCCGCAGAAAGCAAACCCAGAGACCGCTGCGGTGTAACCAAGCAGAGCCCACCCCGCTTCCAGCATCCGCTGTGTCTCTGGCGGCAAGTGCAAGAGGCAGCACAGCAGAAGGTCGGAGGTAGCGCACAGCGTGGTCTTCCTGGCCAGGTCCCAGCTGGTGGCAGGGTGTAAGCACAGCGAGCGGGTGCGTTTCCTGGAAAGAAAGTGAAGGAACGAACAGGTGAGTGTAATGGGTCCACCGACTGACCCGTCGGGCTGTCGGAGCGCGAGCCTCTCGGGTAACATCTGCGTGTGTAGCTGCGGCCGCTTGGGAACTCTTTAATGCCTATCCTTGCGCTGGAAACTTACCAGGCTAGGTGGATATGGTGCAGCAGACGCGCTTATGCAATTGAGTCACCCACGGAGGCCAGATGCAGAGATAAGCAAGTTTATTAGGGGCGGGCAGTGGGCACCCAGACATGACCGGGCACCGACCCCAATGGGCAGGCGGGGAGGACAGTTGTACAGGTCTAGCTCAGGGCCTAGCAGATTGGTGCTGATGTGATTTAGTGCAGAGGCAGGAATACCGCAAAGCACAAGCTGATCTCAAAACAGAAGAGGAAAGGTGTTCCATATGTTACATACGGAACAAGCAGTCTTACCACAAAGCACATGCTGGTATCAGGTTAGGTAATTATGGCAATATTTATGTGAAACAAACTTAAGGAAACATACACTTAAACTTTAAAATTGCACTAGAAAGGGCAGGCCAGATAGCTCAGTGGATTAAAGCGCCTGCTTTGGCAGACTCAGGGACCAGGATTTGATCCCCGGCTCCACGTGCCATGCCAGCTCTGCTCCTGGGGCACGCTGAGAAGGCCATTGAGACTGGGCATGGTGGTGCATGCCTGCAATCCCAGCACTTGGGAGGCTGAAAATAGGAGAATCACTTTGAGTCAGATCTGTGTAGTGACACCCTGAAGACCCTGTACTAAACACATTTTAAAAACTAAAATAAGGGCCGGGATATGGCTCAGTGGAATAAGTGCTTCCCTGGCAAGTGCAAGGGCCTGAGTTCAATCCCCGGTTCTGCCAAAAAATAAATAAATAAATAAATAAAATAGCACTAGAGCACAAAACGGTATTGGTTTAGTTTTCTTCCCCACATCAGATGGATAGAAGGAAGGAAGAATGGATGGATGGATGGATGGATGGATGGATGGATGGATGGATGGATGGATACACGCACACATACACATACATACATACATACATACATACATAGAGTGATTTGTGAAATGTTTTTAGGCTTGTGACTAAGAATTCCTCACTAAATCCTAAAACTTAAAAACATCTTAATATACTACCTTCTGGAAGTTTCATGACTTTATGTTTTGTACTTAACTATGCAATGAGCAGAAGCAATTTGGAAGGTTGTTTAGAATAAAGCCCCCAAAATAGAGAGCTTGAGAGCTCATGCCATATAAGTAATCATTAAATAATGAATCTTGGCTCTATAGCTAACCAGGGCCAGGGTTACTGAACCTCAGAATAAAGCAAAGGCATTTAAGGCTTAAACAAGCCATCATTCTATGCAAATCAAATTGCTACTACACGATTTTTTCTGAAGCTACACCATGACTGAAAGAAAACACAACTTCATGGAAAGTGTAGCGTGTGTCATACAGACAGCTGTTGAAATGGCAGGCTCTCTGAAGGATAATCCAGTAAGCTGGGGCAGGGAATCACTCAGATCTCAAATAGGAGAGCCAGAAAGGATGTTTATACCATCATAGGAAATCATCATACACGCACAGACTAAAACCATTCCCCAGATTTTCTTATGCCAAATATTTCTAAACTAAAGAACATGAACCAGAATTAAATGATAAAGGCTAAGAAGAAAAAGACAAGATGCCAACATCATGAAAAATCATATGTCAATAATGAGTCATACAAATTCAATACGGAATAATTACTTACCACAGTGGGAAAAGTGGATTAATTTATGCTCTCCAAATGGTACATCAAAAAGGCCATTTTCTGTGCTGTAAGATGAATTCATTCATTAAATTCACTGAATACGTAGCGGCTTCTTTTTGAGAAAATAGAGAAAACAGACACTATAAATCCTCTGCAAATGTTTATTAGGAAAGCCCAAGTCAAAAAGTGAGGTGAAGCGTAAGAGCCTGCACTGTTCAAGAAGCCCCCGACACTTCACTGATTTTCCTGCTCCTTCTCCCCATCCTGTCCAGACATTTGGTAACTATGGCCCAAGGAAATGGCACCAAGGTGACTGAATTCTACCTGTGGGGATTTGGAGGTCAGCAGCAGCTCCAGCCGGCCCTCTTCACTGTATTTCTCGTGATCTACACAACCTCCATGGTGGGCAACACTGGCATGATCCTGCTCATCCACACAGACTCCAGACTCCAGACCCCCATGTACTTCTTCCTGCAACATCTGGCCTTTGTTGACATCTGCTACACGTCTGCCGTCACTCCCAAGATGCTCCAGAACTTCGTGGTAGACAACAAATCCATATCATTTGGAGGATGTGTTCTGCAATTTCTGACCTATGGAACATTTGTAGTCAGCGACTGCTACCTCCTGGCAGCTATGGCGGTGGACCGCTATGTCGCCATCTGTAAGCCACTTCGCTACCCCATCATCATGTCCCGAACAGTCTGCATCCAGTTGGTCACTGGTTTGTATCTTGTAGGGTCACTAAATGCCTCTGTACACACAGGCTTTACCTTTTCTCTGTCCTTCTGTAAGTCCAACATCATCAATCACTTTTTCTGTGATGGTCCCCCAATTCTCGCCCTCTCGTGTTCAAACATTGACATCAATGTCATGCTAATGTTTATCTGTGTGGGGTTCAACTTGACATTCACTGTGTCTGTCGTTCTCTTCTCCTACATCTGCATCCTGGCCGCCATCCTAAAGATGTCTTCCGCTGCAGGAAGGAAGAAAACCTTCTCCACCTGCGCCTCCCACCTCACAGCCGTCACCATCTTCTACGGAACCCTGTGTTACATGTACTTGCAGCGTCCTTCTGAGCAGGCCCAGGAGAACATGAAAGTAGCCTCTGTGTTCTACAGCACCGTGATTCCCATGCTGAACCCTCTGATCTACAGCTTGAGAAACAAGGAGGTCAAAGAAGCTGTGAGAGTCACAGGGAAAAAAGTTCTGCATATCAAATCTAAAATGTTAAAATGCAGTACTCCCACTGTGGATATGCATTGCCATTTTTAATTATTCTAAAATTGAAAACATTCAGCTTTCAAATCAGAGCCATCCTTTCAGAACACAAAATCTTAGGTTTATGTGAAGCATTCTAAGACCTCTCCTGAGGTACATTTTCCTGGAAAACATATTTAGCAACATATTAAATGCAACTCCTAAAGAAAACCTAATGGAGATTATTAAAAATATAAAGAAGCATGCATGAACTGTACAAAATGAATTTTCAAATATTTTTCAAATTTATTTTAGCTGGTAAAAAGAATCTGTACTTCTATATAGCTCGCATAAAAATTAATTTCCTTGTTTTTATCTCCTTTATATAAATTTATTAAATTGCCTGAAATGAGTTACTTTGTAAATTGTGTTTAAAATTGATGAAATCTTATATAAAAATCTGTTAATTGCTTTAAAAATCATCTTAGAACTTAAGTTGTCCTCTTTACCCAATGTTCCCTCCATTGGTACGTTCCCTACCACTAAAAAAATACTTATTTGTGTCATTAGTTACTGTCTGTACTTTTATTCCATCTTTTCTTGCCCAGGAAAGGAAACTCTACAAATATTTTGTATGCGTATCTCCAGCAGACATAGTCTAGATACCGACGGATCTAAAACCTAACCAGTGAACACTCATTTCCAGCATCCATTAATCATGGCAGTTGATACAAAATTAAACCACAGACATTCAATATCAAACTGAATGGAAGCCAAGAATCCCTTGAGTCAAAAGAAAATTTTTCTGAACTAGGTAAGTAAACTATATTCACAATGCCCATTTGTTCCTAAATAATTTTGTATGTTCCCTTTGAAGAAAAACATTCTTTTATGTAAGTACAAAATCAGGCAATTCACACTGATCCAATATTACTATTGAACCTACAGACCTAGAGACCTAATTTATATTTTACCCATTGTTCTAATGTTGCTCATTATAGCAATAAATATGTGGATAAATAAATTTAAGATTTCAGATTCATTCAATTGTCATAGCTCTTTACCCCTTTTTATCAGGAATAGGTCTTTAGCCTATCATGACACTGACATTTTGTTCAGTCCAATCATTGCATTAAATGTTCTGTTCAATTTGTCAGATGCTTCCCCAAGAGCATACTCAGGGTGTGGCATGGTGCAGGAGGAGCATGCTCTTGCTAGAGTTGTATTAGAATCATATTTTGCTTGTTGTAGTGGTTGGTACATTGTATCAATTCAAGAAGTCTATAAGCTTAGCAAAGTGACTCAGCAGTTCTACATGGTAGGTCATAGAGGACATGCCCTAGGGAGACTATTTACTCCTCAGGATGTTGTAATGGTTGATTCATTGTGTCAACTTGAAAAGTTTAGAAGTTTAAGCCACTCAGCTTAGGGTGTAGGGAACACAGCCTAGCCCAGATAGCCTGCTTAAAATAAAGAAAATGAAAAGATCCCCCTCTTTTGCTCTTGTTCCTTTTGCTGTCTTCTGCCATCTTGAATTTTTTTCCTCTCTGCCATGTGCCACCCTGCCTTGGAGACAGCTGACTATATACTAAAACCTCCCCAAGCTATAAGCTGAATAAACTTTGCCTTGGCTTTGGGTATTAGGTATTTTGTCACAGCAATGAAAGAAAAGTAACCAGAACCAAGACACTTGTGCAAGTTGAGAGTTTGCTTTGGATCTTGGAGGAGAGTTGGGACACGGACTTTTCAGGGATGCTGAAACTGTTGGGATTTTGGCAATTCTTAGAGATGGACTAGAATGGTTTTTGCATAAAGGAATATGCATGAGTCTTTCGGGGTCCAGGGGTGGAATGTTATGGTTTGTATATAGCCATCCCCTCCAAAGCCTCATGCAGTCTTGGGATGGCTTCTGGAGTTTGTGATTGATTACTGTGGGTGTGGATGCTGAACCTGCCCTAGGGCAGATAATTTGCATTATAATGTAAGGAGGGAAGAGAAGCCAGCTGCCTGAGCTGCTGCTACTCCTCCTTTGCGCTCTTGCTCTTTGCTGCCTCCATGAAAAGTTGCTTTCTGCTGTGTGCAGCTCTGCCTTGGACCCAGCTAAATATGGATTGAAACCTCCAGTAACTGTGAGCTAAATAAAACTTTCCTTCCTTAAAAAAAAAAAAAAGACACTCGTGCAGTACACACACACACACACACACACACACACACACACTGCTGAAACCATGGAAATTACAGGAAGGCCTTATTTACAGAGTATGAATTTCACTGAAGGAACCTAGTTATGAGTATGGAAACAATCTCTAGATTTCTACCACTTAGAAATTTCAAAGTCATTGAAACCAGTATTTGACTGAAGATAAAATAAAAGCAAAAGCTGCAGACATCAGGGCAAGTTAGATAGCTCAGTGGACTAAAGTGCCTGCTTAGGCAAAGTGCAGCAGCCAGGGTTTGAGCCCCAGCTTGCCATGCCAGGCTCACCCCTGGGGTGCGCTGAGATGGCAATTGAGACTGGGTGTGGTGGCTCGCACCTGTAATCCCAGCACTTGGGAGGCTAAAATCAGGAGAATCACTGAGTCCAAATCTATGTAGTGAGACCATATAGACCCTGTACTAAATACATAAAAATGTTGCAGATATCTATGTAATAATATTTTACAAACCACATTGAAATATAGAGTGGCCTAATAAAATTATAATTATAAATAAAAATAGTAATAAGAAAAAATAAGGGGTTGGAGAGATAGCTCAGTGGTCTACAGCACCTGCTTAGGCAAGCTTAAGCAAGTACAGGGACCATAGTTCGATTCCCCGTATCACATGCCATGCCAACCCCACCCCAGGGCAGGCTGAACTGCCCACAAAAAGAAAAAAGAAAAGAAAAAATTAGAAAAATCATTAGGTACTTCAAGAGATCAGAAAATGATTTGAAAGTGAAAATAACTGATATTGTTTATAATTAATTATAATTTAAACTTATCAATATTTTAACTGATAAATTTAACAAAAGACCTCAGTCACTAAGCAAAAAGCAATTAATAATCAGAAATTTTATTTACAATTTATTATTTTAGCAAGAAAAATAATTCTGTGGAACATAGTATATAAAAAGAATGAGAAAATACTGAGCTCCACAGTATGGGGATCAATTAGAAAAACTGACAGGATGGGTCATTCATCTAAGAACCTATCAATTACCAAAAGTTAGCCCAGAAGGGATTGAAAGGCAAACACTACATTGGGAAAGAAACAGGTAAAATTCAATTTTCTTGCCTGTAAAGCACCTATCAGTGAATCTAAAAGTGTGCTGTGGACTACACATCACCAAAGGCACTAGAATCATAGTAACCCTGAGAGAAAAAGGACTGCTTCCAGACACATTTGGAGGGGCTTGGAGGCTTGAACTCAGGGCCTTATGCTTGCCACTCAGGCACTTATGCCGCTGAGCTGTCTCCCCAGCCCCTTCCAAACAATTCATATGAAGCAAATTAAGGCAAAGAGCTCCAGCATTCATCCAATGGCACACAAATATTAATGTAAACCTAGAGAATAAAACTGCCGCACAGATGAGGCGGGAGCCTGTAGAAAGCACAAAGGCAGCCACGCCAAGTGCAGCTTTGCCACACAAGAAAATGCAATGTTCGAAAGCCTAGCGAGACGGCATCTCCGGGAGAATCTGTACTCCTGCATCCGTGCGGTGCGATGCCCAGCAGCCAGAACACCACAGCCACAGAATGCCCACTGAGGGATGCAATGACAAAGAAGACACGTGAATACGCAGTGCATGTGGAAGGCTGCTCAGCATTGCCGTGAAGCGCATTTGACCATTTGGGACAATGTGTAATGGACACTTCTGCCAGGGGAAATGAGCCAGACAGCACGCGGCCCATGCTGCATGCTCTCACCTGTACATATATGTTCTAAAACTGTCAGGTTGGGCTGGCCAGACAGCTCAGTGGACTAAAGCACCTGCTTAGGCAAAGCCCAGGGACCAGGGTTCGATCCTGGGCATGCCATGCTGGTCCTACCCACTGGACTATTGAGACTGGGCGTGGCAGCTCCTGCCTGTAATCCTAGCGCTTGGGAGGCTGAAAACAGGAAGATCACTGCAAGTCCGATCTATGTAGTAAGACCCTGTAGACCCTGTACTGAATACATTAAAGAAAAATTTTAAAAATAAAATAAAATTGTAAGACTTATGGAATGCAAGGAAAGTATGTTTTCCAGGGTGTTGGGTGTGGGAAAAGAGAGATGCTGGTGGCGTGGTACAAAGTTACAGTTAAACAAGATGAAGTTCGGAGCTCTTCTGCACTGCGTGGGCACATCCACTAGCGATGTTGCACTGTCAACTGAACATCCAGCACAAGTGTGGCTCTTGTGTTAAGTACTCTGACCACAGAACAACATTAATGCTAGGGATATCAACACAGGTAGCAAGAGGACACCTGGAGGACGGTGGGTCTGTTCGTGGCCTTGGCAGTGACGGGGATCTCCCGGGTGTTTGCCTTGTCCCCAATGCACATGCTGTATGTGAGTCTGTACAACATTCCGCACTTCAGCCTTGCCTCGAAGAAATGGGCTCAGAAACTCGTGAGGCGACAGCAAGACTGCTTGATACTAACCATAAAGAGATAAGAAGACCAATACAAGAGACATGAAAGCCCAGAACTAGGTCCAACTACATAGGAGGGCTCATCACGTGATCATGCTGAGAAGGCAGCCACGGGACACAGATGAATTACGCAAGCAAATGTCATTAAAGTCATGACTACAGTTGGCAAAAGTGAAAGCATAACACACACAACATAAACATAAATTCAAAATGACTCAATGATTTGATTTTAAAATAAACTGTAGGGATGGAGAGATAGCTCAGTGGTGTAAGCACCCACCTGCCTAGCTAGAGCAAGAACGTGAGTTTGATCCCCAGTACCAAAAAGAAATTAAAAAGTAAAAACAATAAAATTAAAAATACAACTTTCTTTTCAAACATATAGAATGAATGCCTTTATAAATATGGCACAAAACACAAAGCATATTTGCTACATTAAAATCAAGGTATTATTGTGCATGACAAAAACATGAAATGAAATATTAGAAAATATTTTAATTCTTCTAAAGAAGAGTACTTAGCTAAAATATCAATTTGAGAGCAAAATACTTTTTAAGAGAGCAACACATATACCACATAATTCACAGAGAATAAAATAATAATGGATCTCAGAAACACATGAAGATGACCTCATTAAGACAAGCAAGACCAAAGAGTGCTGTTTTCCAGGCATAATGATGTTTGATGCCAATGTCATGACATAAAGTGTATAACATTTGTAGAAATGGTCACGAGATGTGCAAAATGCCAAGATGCCAGCACCTCTCCGGAAGGGCAGGGCCCAGTCAGAGTCACAGTGGCCACAGTCACCCCAGAAGCAGAGCTTTCTTTCCAGAACGCCTTCACATCCTGCAGACATCGTAATCAAAAATATTTAACAAAACGTTGTCTCTATTGGTACAAGACTGATAACTGTATCAACACCCACCAGTGCAGGAGTGGGTCTGATTCAAACATTCAGAAATGCAGTCGCCTCACAAAACACAAGCCAGCCACCAGAGAGCGTGAGACGTCTCTTTTCTTACTGCTCTCGATGGGTCGCCCAGAAATATGAAGTTGATAAAGCAAGTTGCTAAGAACTATGAGTGACACAATCTCATTTGTGGCAGGGATGGAACAAGGAATATAAGGATCAGGGTATTTTCAAGCTCAATATAAGACTTCTTTTAGAAGAAATAAAAAAGGTGGGGCTGGCAAGATAGCTCAGCACACTAAGGGCCCACTTAGCCAAGCAGAGGGACTGGGGTTCGATCCCTGGCACCATGTATTGCGCCACCCCTGAATGTGCTGAGTCAGCCACCAAGACCAGGCATAGTGGCATGCACCTGCAAGCCTAGTCCTAGAGAGGCTGAAAACAGGAGGGTCACTATGCATTTGAGATGCGTAGTGAGACCCTATACCAAATGCAGAAAGAGAGAAAGAAAAAGAAGAAAGAAAGAAAAGAAAGAAAGGAAGGAAGGAAGGAAGGAAGGAAGGAAGGAAGGAAGGGCTGGATGTGGTGGTGCATGCCTATAATCCCAGCACTTGGAGGCTTAGGCAGGATTATTCAAAGTTCCAGAGCAGCATGGGCTACAAAGTGAGCTTAAGGCCAGCTTAAACTGCATAGGGAGACCCGGTCTCAAAAAAGACAAAAAAAAACAGAAGGAAGGTATGGAAGGAGAGCGCCAGGGGATTGGGACCACAGAAGCCCCAGGGGGAGGGCAGAGCAAGCAAAGAATGAAATTGTTAAGCAGCCCTCAAAACTCAAGCGAACAGTCTCTACGGGCAGTACAAGAATAATGAACCGTGTTCCCATTAGGAAGCTTTTCTTTTTTCTTCAGCAGAGAATAGCAGATGAGCTCTGGGTACGTCCCATCTCAGCCTCTGGATCCTTGGGCCCTCGGGGGAGCGCACCAGAGTCCCTAGGCTGCAGCTATCAGCTCCCTGATGGGGAGGAGCCACCAAGAGACCTCAGGAGCCTGCCTGCCCTGCGAACCTGCAGAGCAGAGCGAGTAAGACAAGCAAATCCCGCTGTTCACACCAGCTGTGTCTCCGGGACGCCCTGCAGGAGCCCGGAGAGCAGAGGGTGAGAGTCCAGCCTGCCCCCCAAGGCCGGGAGGAGCCCCCACCAGCACCCCTCGTCACAGGTGATGGGAAAGCAGTAAAGGGTGAGGCTTGCCTGGGAAAGAGGGGGAAGGAACAAGACGGTGAGTGAAAGGAACGTAGCTGAACGAGTCAACCAACTAATCAGCATCCCCTGCCTTCTGCGGGATGAACATCTGCCGGGATTAGGACCGGTCCGAGGCAGCGCCGCTCCTGTGCGGGGAGCTTAAAATGCACTTGCTGGCTCGGTCTACTCGCTGATTCAAAACAGCCTGTATTTTTTCCTCTGTATTTTTATCCTCCTCTTTCCTTTGAAGTCCTTCAGACTCGCAGGAAGTTACAGTGCTAATACAAAGGGCTCTTGGGGACCTTTCACCCCATTTTCCCTGGACAGTTCGGTCCCATGCAATTCCTCTGCGACACCAGAACCCGGGTGTTGACGTTGGCACGGTGTGCGTGGCTCTGGGTCCTCATCCCACGTGTGTGCCTTCCTGGATCCACCGTGACAATCGAATGTGACCTGTGCCCCCACGGGTGACAGATCCCACAGAGGTCTTCCGCAAGACTCCGTATGGACAGCCCCCCACCTACCACTCCCCCCGTCCCCCACAGTCGCTCAGTGCTGTCTGCTCAGCCTTGCCGTTGTGAGGTCGTACAAATGGTCGCTCAGTGCGTGACCTTTGGAAAGCCAGCGCTTTCAGGACTCAACACAAGGGTGAGATCCACCCAGCTATGCTGGAGTTTGTTCCTCTTCATTTCTAAGTAGAATTTCATCCATAAACTGATGTAAATATCCATTTACCCGTTTTGGCGTAAGCATACATTGAGTGCAAACAGGATTTGTAGAAGTCACAAACTAGGCAACGTAGTGCCAATTTAGAGTTTTTAAGAAACAGCTATTTTCCTGACTGATCATGCTGATTTATTATTTAGGAATTAGGACTCCCTTTTTGCCTCTTGCAAGAGAGTTTCTGGCTCTGTTCCTGTTATTGGCCTTCAGTCAGGGTTTAGTGCGTTCAGGGTGCATGCGCTGTATCAGTTCAAATATTTTCAGCTGATAGAGAACTTCAATGCTGCAGGAGATGGTCTATCCATATATATATATATGAAGGGTCTACAGGGTGTTCAGGGTCTCACTATAGATCAGACTCCTAGTGATCCGCCTGTTTACAGCCTCCCAAGTGCTGGGATTACAGGCACACACCACCACGCCCAGTCTCAGTTGCCATCTCAGTGTGCCCTGGACCTTGGGACCGGCATGGCAGGCCCAGGGATCGAACCCCGGCCCCTGTGCCTGCTTGCAGGCACTTTAATCCACTGAGCTATTTGGCTGCCCCGATATATATTTTTGCAGACTCAAAAAATGTATACTCTGCTCACGTGAAAGTGATCCATAGATATCACATAACGGCCTGGTTGGAGGTGTTTAGTTCTTTATATTGGCTGATTTTCTACTCGTTCTATTGGCAACTGAGAGACCATGGCTGGATTCTCCAATTATAATTTTCAACTGTTTGTTCACCCCTCGTTCTGACCAGTTTTTCCTTCATATTTATTACAGTCCTCCAGTTTGCTGCTCACAGGTTTAGAATGGCTATTGCTGTTTCTTCCTGGGAAAATACTCTCCCTCCCCGCTCCCTCCCTCTCTCCTCCCTCTCTCTCCCTCTCTGTCTCTGTCTCTCTCCATCTCTCCCTCTCCCTCTCTCCTCTCTCTTCCTCCCTCTCCCTCTCTCTCTGTGTCTCTTTCTCTCTTCACTCTCCCCAATAATTTTCTCTGCTGTGAAGTCTTCTTCATCTGATATTAGATAGTTATCTTTTTATCTTTCAACCGAGACTTGCATGGTCTATCTACGTCTCTCTTTTCTTTTGACCTGCAAATATTACTATATTTGATAGGACTTTCTTGCACACAATAGGTAATAGCATAATATTCTTTATCTGCTGTGAGAACTCTTTGTTTTAACTCAATCAAAATAAGAAACCTTAGAATAGGAGAAATGAAACAGCCTGAGAACTTCAAAACAATGTAGATAAATGCATGCTCTCCCTTTTCCTTGGAGTTTGCTGAATTATGTTGAACTGGCGCAGAGTATCTTTTAACACTCTTTGTTCTTAATGTGAATGGAGGAAATACTTATGATAATCATATTTCAAATAGAAGAAAGGAAGTGATGAAAAAAGAAAGAAAGTTTCTGTCTAACCTAGGTGGGTAAAATGCAGTCATTATGTGCGTAACACAGTGATCACACACAAAAAGGCTACAAAAAGATATATACTAAAAATGATGTAGATAAATGAAAATAGATTCTTAAAAAGTAGGGCCAGAAAAATAGCTCAGTGGACTACATACCTGCTCTGGCAAGCTCAGGGACCAGGGTTTGATTCCTGGTCCCGCACAGCACACCGGCCCCACTGCTGGGCACACTAAGGTGGTAATAGAGGCTGAGCGTGGTGGTGCACGCCTGTAATCCCAGTGCTGGTGAGGCTGACAACAGGAGGATCTCTATGAGTCCGAGCTGCATAGTGAGACCCTGTGCCAAATACATAAAATGAAAAAAAAGAAATGTTCAAGTGACATTTTCTTTTCCCAGGAAAAGAAAGCAAAGAAACAACACACAGAACAAACTGTACAGAGAGCAAAAAATAAAATAGTATATATTCAAGCCTTAGCTTAGCGTCCTAATGTAAGAAGTACAGTTTCTTCGTCTAAAAAGAATAAGAGTTATGAATTCCAAGTATAAAACTGAAAATCAAATAACAAAGTTTGTAGAGTCTAAGTCATAAGGTTCTCTGTCAAGCCACAGCCATGGATAATTATAAAGAGTTGTGCATCATGTCTCAGCTTTATCTATGAATAGAGAAGGAGGAAGAGGAAGACAGAGTGAGTCCGACTGTGGGAAGGGCCCATGCTCTAGGTGGGACTCTACACTTGGCTGTCACTTGGGACAGCACCACGTGGCAGCCATACCACAGCGACTCACGTTAGCTCACATTTCAGTCTGTGTGCTTATGCACAGCACTGTTCTGCTGTGAAGCTTCTAAACATGCTCCCAAGTTATTTTTTAGAAATGTAGCTGCATCATTGGGAATGAACTTTTAACTGGCTGCTGTGACACCTGTAGAGGAAAGAGTGACCCACTAGCGTGTGGTCCTTTGTCTCCATAACTGACAGGACTTGAATGCAAGCATGAGGCTACCAGGCTCCTTTCTCTACCCCAGATGAATAAAATGAAGGCTCAGGAGATTATTCCTACAAGAGGAAGGAAGACGGGTAGGGGAGCTAGGAGGGGGGTAATTGGAGGTTACAGGCCTGTAGCAAAATGCCACATTGATACCAAGTGTTTCATAAGCTAACACACAATGTACGTAAGAGTAACGAGGCCTCAGGAGTGCTGCTCTAAGGCTGTGTCCGGGTATCTGCTGTGTTGCAGGAGTGTGTCTTTCCCTCCATAGCACTGGTGTGATGAGGAAATACCTCCAAAACCTTGAGACAAAACGGCCCAGGTTGGCCCAGCAGGCAGACCCCGCCCATGAGATGACTGGGGAAGCTTCTTCTCTGCCCCTGGGAAGGGTCTCCAAAGTTGTATATGGCTTGATTTGAATTCAGAACAATGAAAGGGAAACTGTCACGGCAAATCCCTCCCTCACAATTCCAGTTTCAAAGGCCCCTGACCTCCCGGGCTCCCTGTGCTGCCAGCTTTTCCACATTCCATGGAAGCCTCCTTCAGTGGACGCTGCTTCATCTCTTTTCCAAAGTAACTGACTGAGGATGGGCCTTGCCAGAGCTTATTTCTTCAAAACACTCATTGGGGACTGAGGACAAGAGGGGCTGGCCCCCTTTCTGAAGCTTCCCCACACCGCTTCCTGAGGAGTTTCCACAGCTGGCTTGGCATGTGATTTGCCCAAGGAGAAAGGTGCAATCTTCCTGGCCCTCCCCTCAGAGTCACTGATGCAGGCACAGAGGGTCCCCTGCTGACTGTCCTGAGGTTTCTGCTCCTCCAGATGCAAGCTCTGCTACTCCATGATATTTACACCTAGAAAATGTAGGAAATTCTGTGTACAGTCATTCTGCCTTGTGTTTACACCTATTGTTCCAAATTGACCTAATTAGCAAATTTTCATACAGATATTCTTCTCTAATTGCATTCCCCATTGTAGTCTACAAAAGTAATAATATAGAGGAGAGAGAGAGAGAGAGAGAGAGAGAGAGAGAGAGAGAGAGAGAGCGCTTTGTTGGGGAGCTGTGCCTGCTCCCCTGGAATCTCCACATCCTGACCATAGCCTTCCTCTGTCTCCCTAGGCATCAGCTGAGCTTTTCTCTAAGCTCACAATGATGAGCCAAGGATGCACCAGTGTCACAGGCACCTGGTGGCTTACCTGGGCGACACGCTCTGGTGCTTCCCTGGGAATCTCAGCTAGTCCCCGTCCTTCCAGGAGCCCCTTCTGCACCCACAGTGCACCTGTCAATACCATTCCTCTGCATTCAAGGGACACTGCAGGATTAACAGGGCTCTTCTGAAGCTTCCCTGTCACTGAATCTGTACTTGGTCATATTGGGTCTCAAAACTCAGTAATCAACCACCAACCACCTTTCTAGGAAAAAAACTCATAGTGTTGTCATGTTTTTATTTAAGTCTTTTAATTAAAAACTCTACACCACAATATTATGAAGTTGCTTAAATAAGACTAAGCATCCTAAGAGGCAAAGCATCTAATTCTCATCCAGGTGTAACAGCAGAAATTCTCAGTCACATCAAATTCTGGGGAGGAAGGGCACTGCTGCTGGGAGGACCCCTGTGGATGAAACGGGTCCCCCAAATTCACCTGTATAAATATCATCACCCAGGCTGTGGTGCTGGAGGCAGCAGCTGTAATTAGGGGTGACTAGGACACCAGGCTCTGTTTCCATGGCTGGCCAATGGCGTCACTGTGACAAATGCCGCACTTGTCATGGAAGCAGGTGCGGCCCTTCTGCCCCTGTGCTTCTCGCGCCCTCCCACACTGCCCTGGAGGGTGCAGCCCCTGTAGGAGCATGGCCTGTTTTCTGTATCTGTGCTATCATAGCAAAGGCAAGAAGGGCAAGGAAAGGATGCTGCCCACAGGGCCATTCAGGAGTTTAGCCCTAGAGGGAGAGTAATGAGCCACAGAGCTGTGTCATCATGTTTTAAAGATGAAGCAGCACACCCGGCAGAGTCACATTTGCACATAAACAGAAAACAAGTGTTTATTTTAGCATGTCCCATGCCAAGTATAGACCATGGTTCTACTAAAAGACTATGTTGCTGTGGATCTGAAATTCAAATTTTCCACTTTTTGCCCTGTATTATCTGGTAACCAAGACATATGGCTGTCAAAATCTTCCTGAAGTCAGTATTCAACTAACAGATAGTGAAGAAAAGGGATAGAAAGGTATAGGGGTCCAGTTTGCATGGAAGCAGGGGCTGGTTCAGGGCTCAGTGGAGCCCGCATTACCTCAGCCTGTTCTCCACTGGTCAGAACACAATGCCACGACCCCACGCAAGCTTGGCTGGAAGAGTGCCTCGCTCTGTCCCCAGAAGAAAAACACACACACTGGTGGGCGCCGAGCTATGTCATCTCAGGGGAAGGGTCTATGCTACACCAGAAGGAGCAGCTCTTGGAGAGCTTGAGGGTTTATGTTACATGAAGGAATTGTGCAAGAAGACTTGTCAGATGTACACCTAAGCAGATATGGGGCAAGCCTAACTCAGACAAAAACTCAAGGGCAGTTGGGATTTCTAAAGCTATTGTTATGTAGGGATCAAAGTGGTAACACATGACTTTCTGTAAGCTATGTAACAAATAAAAGGCAAAGCCACGCCATGGGAAATGTAAGCAAGTCCCTTTCTCATACATTTATGTGAAATGAGGAGTGTCTTATTTGTGACCTGAAATCCTCCAGTAGGAGTTCAGAAGACCTGCTGGAACAAAGGCGCTAGGAAGCCACCACAGGTGTGGGCCGTGAGCAGAATGCGGCAAGCGCTTAAGGCTCCTATGACTTCTGCTGCTTTCAAGCACTTCAACCCAAATCAAATGATTAAAACAGCAAGTAGCTAAAACCTGCTGTACATTTCTGGAAAGGTAAAAAATCATATCTGAATGTTGTCTGAGACAAATATAGGTGTGTGCATCCTATCATGGAGAAATGCAACCCTTTTAATATATTGTTTATCCAGTAGCTTCTTTTTTTTTTGGTGTGTACACATTTTATTTATTTTGAGCAGATCATCCATGAGACCCAAATTACAGTCACAGGGCACATCCGGAATTCTGGTCACTGACGCTCTTGAAAATCACTACCCAAATACCAGGGATTAGTCTAAGACTTTCCCTCTAGATTAGTGAGAGTAGCTTCTTAAAATAGTGTAAAACATGGTATCTGGACAGCAACAAATCCAATTGTGAGTCTTTCTCAGGCACATCAAAATCTAACAGTGACAGGAAATGTAAGAATCCTTTCACTTCAAGAAGTCAAAAACAAAAATTTCCTATCTTTTCTTGGTCTTCCCAGAATTTGTAGCCATGAAATATTGGAATGGAACTGAGGTGACTGAATTCTACCTGTGGGGATTTGGAGGTCAGCGGCAGCTCCAGCCGGCCCTCTTCACTGTATTTCTTGTGATCTACACGACCTCCATGGTGGGCAACACTGGCATGATCCTGCTCATCCACACAGACTCCAGACTCCAGACCCCCATGTACTTCTTCCTGCAACATCTGGCCTTTGTTGACATCTGCTACACGTCTGCCATCACTCCCAAGATGCTCCAGAACTTCGTGGTAGACGATAAATCTGTAACATTTGGGGGCTGCCTAGTGCAATTATTGGTGTACGCGATATTTGCGACCAGCGACTGCTACATCCTGGCAGCTATGGCAGTGGACCGCTATGTCGCCATCTGTAAGCCACTTCGCTACCCCATCATCATGTCCCGAACAGTTTGTGTCCTGCTGATAGCTGGCTCATATCTTATGGGGTCACTGAATGCCTCTGTACACACAGGCTTTACATTTTCCTTGTCCTTTTGTAAGTCCAATATCAACCACTTTTTCTGTGATATCCCCCCAGTGATCAACCTTTCATGCTCCAACACTGACATCAATTTCTTGTTAATTTTGGCCTTCGTAGGGTTCAACTTGACATTCACTGTGTCGGTCGTCATCTTCTCCTACATCTGCATCCTGGCCGCCATCCTAAAGATGCCTTCTGCTGCGGGGAGGAAGAAGACCTTCTCCACCTGTGCCTCCCACCTCACAGCTGTCACCATCTTCTATGGAACCCTTTCATACATGTACTTGCAGCCTCCTTCTGAGCAGGCTCAGGAGAACATGAAAGTGGCCTCCGTGTTCTATGGTATTGTCATCCCCATGCTGAACCCTCTGATCTACAGCTTGAGAAACAAAGAGGTCAAAGAAGCTGTGAAAATGATAGGGAAAAAATTCTTCACATTGGGTCAGAATTGCTAACATTTGGTGCATCACACCCTCTGATAGAGATGTATCGCCACAGTTTAGCAATTCTAAGATAGAAAGCCTTCAGCTCTTAAAGAAGGATTTCCCCCCATTCAAATGTAAGATCTCATGGTGTGTGAAATGTTTAAAATGCTCTTCTGAGACTCTACTTCCCCTGGAATATTGTTTGAGAACATACCTTACTTCTTTATGGAAAGGTCTTATGTGGTCCATTTAAAATGTTAAGGCATGCATATAAACCTTATAAAACATTACTTCAAATATTTCTCAAGTATGTTTTTACTAGGTAACAAAATAGTACTTGTATACAATTAATATAAAAATTGAACTTCATTATTTCCCCAATAGTTAAATATGTTCCCCAATTGTCTAAAGTGAACTCTTTTGTAAGCGTAATTCAAGTTTTTATGCAACACTGATCGTTAAATGAACTTATTACCTTGGAAATTATCTCAGGACTCAAGCTATCCTCTTTACCCAATATTCCCATCTGTGCAATACTTTGTATCATTTGAAATCACGTCTCTGTCATCAGAGTTAGTTGCTTTACTCTGATGTCATCATTTTCTTATCTAGGAATGGGAGCTACTAAAAAAATGCCTATCTTCAATAAAGATGATCTAGAAATAGATGGATCTAAAAACATATCAATAGGCATTCATTAGCAAAAGGCACATTGGTCATTTATATTCAGGCAGATCATGTTAGACTAGAGAACACCAGAAGATGCCATTCAGATTCAAATGCAGAGTGAGAACCCTCAGATGGCATTTCACATTACAGTGGTGCCCACATGATGGAGGAACGTACTCATGGCCATTTTCATAGCATATCGCACAATGGTAGATGTCTACTCAGAGTGAATTATCAGCTGACACCATGATATGATAGAAACATGGTTCATCCTGCCATATACTTGTATATTATCACTATAATAATATTGCATATTATTGCTATAAAAATTGAAATCATTGAATCTCTGTAGACATAAGCAATTGAGCGAAGTGTACACATGGAAAGCACCAATGTGGCCACCAAGTGACAGGTACAGCAGCCACTTCCCATGGAGCAAGCTCTTCTGTACTCCCGACAGCCCACGTTCCCCACTGGCTCCTGCCACTTTTTATAAATTTGCCTCTGAGAGCTCCAACCTTCAATCAAAATTTGAGGTCAGTCATGATCAAAGATAGCTACTTTTATTTTGCAACTCTACTTAAACTATGAGAAATGTGCTAAGACTTCACCATGGGCATCACAAAAGTGAAACCCACAACATTCTGCTTCTGAGTCCCTGTGTATCATCTCCCCTCCACACAATGCATTCCTTTAGTTCTAACAATCCCTGAATTCAAACTTATCCCACTATCTACTGTGAAGTCTGAAGTCTAAAGTCTTGGCTAAGCAACCTGTAGGCAAGATATGGATGAAAGCATGTTTGTTCTCAGTAAAATTCTTCCCCACCTGGAACCTCTGAACCCAAGCAAGTCACAAGCTTCGTGCACACAGTGCAGGACAAGCAAGGGTAAGACATCCTTAGTCCAAAGAGGAGAGACAGAAGTAAAGCATTGGTGGGTTCCTGGAAAGTGAGTGCTATGGGACACTCACACTCAAGAATGAGCCACTTTGGCTCCCTACACTGCCCTGCAGGTGCATTAGGACAAAGGGTCCCAAACCAGGAGCAACTTTGCTATTCCTGTCTCTATCAAAGTTTTATTGAAGGTGTCTTCAGTAATCTCTAGAAATAAAGAATTTTCTCTGTACCTCCCTTTTCTTCCTCTATGTTGATATGAATCTCTTTTAGAAGTCTATTTACAAAACTGTAGGATTTTTCCCAAAAGCACCTCAAAATTCCTTCCCCTTCTCTCTACCCTTTGCTAAGGTCCAGTGAGGCCTTCACAGCTTTAGATATTTTGGCCCATCAGCACTTTGGTTCCAGCACATTTTTATCTTAGTAATCTTTGGCTGCTGTAACAAATTATTATAGGCTGGGTGACGTGACACAAGGGAAATTCATTTCTCCCAGTTGAGGGCTGGAGGGGAGATCTGAGCAGCAGCACAGCCAGGCTCTGGTGAGAGAGGTCAAAGTTGGCCGCAGACTAAGAACCGCTCCTCTCCTCTTCATACAGCAGACAGTTAGCAGGGAAAGCGAGTCTGTGCTGGTGCTAACGTGGGCACAAACCCGGCTCATGATGGCTTCATTTGTATGGCCTCATCTAATTGAAGAAGAAGAGGGACAAGGAGGAGGAGGAGGAAGAGGAAGAGGAGGACAAGGAGGAGGAGGATGTGAACAAGGAGGATGACGTGGAGGATGACAAGGAGAACAAGGAAGGAAAAGGAGATGGGAAGGAAGAGGAAGAGGAGGAGCTGGGGAGATAGTTCAGTCAGTGTCTAAGCTCCCACCTGGCAAGCGCAAGGACCTGGGTTCAATCCGCGGCACCACATGCCTGTAATCCCAGTGGTAGGGAAGCTGAGTATCACTATGAGAGACCCTTTACTAAATAAATTAATTAATTAATTAATATTTCTTAAAAACCTCCCCAAGGCACCCAGTCTTCTAATAGCCACACAGTGGTCGGCAGGATTCAGCATGTGGGTCCAGGAGCGGGGTAGCAAAGGCCTCAGACTGTGGCACAAGAGTTCCTGGAGATTTTCTGTGAATAAGTGAATGTGGCAGTGCTCAACTCAGCAGCTGTGTAGTGGATGGCGCGAGTAACAAATAAGCGCCCCCAGTAGAAAAAGAAGTAAACATTCTTTTTTATTTGTTCTCTCTAAAGAGCTTAATTTTTTTCATTCAAATATCGTTAAGTGCTCATTCCTTTCGGCCGTTCCTTCTAAGCCCCTAGAGCCTCAGATTCTCGAGGGGAGGAGCCCACGGATCCCTTAGGCCCCAGCTGCAAACTGCCTGATGGGTGAATTCCCAGAGAGACCTTAGAGAGCAATCAGCCTGCAGCAGCTGCGAAGAGACCTGGAGACCAGCGCAGTGCAAGTACAGATAAAGACAGTCCCACGTCCAGTGGGGCTGGAGTCTCACGGCAGCGAGTTCAGGAGAACGGAAGGTGAGAGGGCGCCCAGCGTGTTCCCCCACACGAGGACTCAGCTCCCCTCCAGCGATGGGCTGGACCTACCGGGAGGGGGAGGGGCTGGGTCAGAAAGGGAAGGCATTCCTGAATGACTCAAGCATTTGCTCTGGGGTCTCTCCCATGGCCTTTGGGGCAACATTTGGGTGTGTCGTTCTTGCTTTCTTGACAATCATCTCATTCTCTGCTTTGCAGAAGTCACTTAATAGCTCTAGGTGACGTGGGTAGGTTCCTGGTGTCTTCGTCATAAACTGACCTTCACAGCATTTGCGATTAGTGACTGCTGTTTTTCATCCTTTCTGAAATGTGTGGCTTTTAACACTTGCCTTCCACTGTTTCCCTGACTGGGTCTACCCGAGCAGTGACAAACAGAGGAGATAAAGGGGGCATCTTCCCTGCTGCGATCCTGGAACACAGCCTTCCCTCTCCAGCCACCAAGGGTAGTTGTCGTGGGTGTTCTTCATCAACCTGGGGCACTGGCTTCTACTCCTAGTTTTTTTTAGCTTTTTCTTAAAAATCATAAACCAGTACTCAATTTTATTAAATCCCTTTTTCCATGAACATATAATCCTGAGATTTCTTTCTTTATATTTTAAATATGGAACATTGTATTTGTTACTGCTCATGTCCTGAGTAAGCTTTTGGCCAGTGCAGTGACTCCTTCGTGGCTACGCTAAGGAAATTTCTGTGTGTATCCAAAACATATTGTCTACTATGTTGTAAAAGCTCTCTTTCTTGTACAGCCAAGTGTGATATTGGGCCGTAGGTTTCCTTCTACACTATCTGCCTCTAGTTTTGTTTTCATCCTGGCACTCAATTCATAGGAAAAATAGAGAAATGCTCTTTCCAAATGGTGTTTAATTCATCCTGATGATTTTCTGAATCTGCCAATAATTTCTGAGAGGACCTTTTCAATTTATGGCGGCAGTTTACTTCTTGAGCAGATGCATATTTGAATAATTAATTTCAGGATCGGGTTATTGGAAGGACTTCATTTTACTTTTCAAAGACTGTGAGGTCTTCTTTCAAGTCACCAAACTTCTGTGTGAGCTGTTCACCGAACTCCGCTATCTGTCTTCCAGTGTTAGCCGGGCATAAAGCGCTCTACTCATTCCTGGTTTAATAACTTGGACCTTTCATTGACAGACATTCTAGAACTTTGTGAATCTTACTAGTAGGTTCAAAACCAGCTATTTGTTTCACTGATATTTTCCTTTATTTTTCCTCCATTGGATTTCATTAATTTTTACCACTAGCTCTACTTCGCCTTTCTTCTGCCTGTGTTAGTTGTATTTTATTTCTTTCTTAGTTTCTTGCTGGCTTGAGCTTAGGCAATTGATGGGTGACTGCTACCTAATGGAAGCATTGGGTGATCTGCTGCAGAGGCACCAGCAACTTAGGCTTCCTGCATTACCCTTGTACTCAGGTCAACATGGGGACCCTTTGGTTCCCCTTTCTGGCCCAAGGACTCTTCAGAAGTGAGTTGCTTCTTCTGCCAGTCTGCAGTTCTCTGTCTTCTTCCTGGCATCAGCCTCTAGCTGACTTCAGTGTGCCCACAAGCCAGGCAGTGTATGATCTGCATTACTCCTGTTCTGTGCTGGCACCCACTCTTTCTGCTGTGCGGTGTGCCCTACCTGAAGCTACATTTACCCGTGCTCAGCCTGGAGGCTGTTTTCTAAGTGTCGTGTAGACCCTATTGACTGACAGTGCTAAGATTGTTATTTTTGCTTGATTCTGTCTTAATATTCTACTAATAACAGAAAGAAGAATACGGAGTTCTCCAGTTAGAAACATGAATTTCCTTTTGCTACCTTCATTTTTAGTAGTTTTTACATTATCTTTATTGCCACTCTCTATTCTGGTGCTCTGATGTTTGTGACTATTTTTCTTCTTGGTGAATTAACCCTTTTGGCATTGTGAAGTATTCTTCTCTTTGCCTAATAATTTTCCTCATTGTAAAGCCTATTTACATAATATTCATAGATAAATCCTT